GAAAGTCACGTCACAGAATCTTTAAGGAATTATTTTTAAGTAAAAATTCTTTTATACAGATGTTATCTAACTATGAACGTTTCGATAAGTATAAGGATTGTTGGAAGATTTGCGCCCAATTGTATACGTTAATCGAGAATATATCGGATTTGTAATGCAAATGCACTCTAATGCACTCCTTGCGAATGTGTCACAATTTCCAACTAGAAATATATGGCTACATATTATCGTCCGATTTTTTTTGCGAAAGGGTAACTAATATGTTTTTGGTAGAATAGAAAATCAAAACAGTTTTATCTCTCTTGCATTTTTCTGGAAATATGATTTACTACTTAATTCATATAAATGATATCAAAACCTGAACGTTTTAGGACAATCGTGTTTAATCTTCAATCGTACACTTCTTTATATAACGTAAACCATATTTCCAACAAAGGCAATGTATAAACCATATTTTCGAGCGATTTTGAGCATGTTTTACATTAAAATTTTCGAATTCTACGGTTAGAATTTATGGATCAACTAAATATGATTTAAAATTACTTTCAAATTGATTTAAAAAAGCCGAATAGATCGGCGCATATATACACATATTTCAAAACAAACAAAAGTGAAGAAAAAAATTCTTTTTTTTTTTTTTTTTGTTTTTTAAACATTTGTTTTCATGAAATACGCCGTAAGTAATAAAACAAAAATTATATTTTAACAAAAACACCCTCGCTTTGAAAAGATATGCATAGAAAGAGATAAGTTTTTTGTTTTTGTTTTTTGTTATTTCAAAGGCGTGTTTAAGCATTAGTATCGCGATTCATAGTGTCGTTTAACAATTACTTAACAAGATATGCTAACGATTGGTCAGATAATATACGAGTTACAGAATACTGTAAATATATCATAGGAAACCTTTAAATGCATGCGCGAAAGCATTTGCGATTTGTGTGGGTGTTGTTGTTGTGCTGTTTTTTTTTTTTTTTTTTTTTTTTTTTTTGTATACCCCGCATCGAAGCACGTGGGATATGTTCGTTTAGTCAAGCTGTTTGCAACACACAAGTGGAAATTTCAGAAAATTCCAAAAATCAAGTATCAGACTCTGAATTGATCTGGGCATGCCCGTACAGGTGTCCATCGAAATGGATATATATTTGCGATTGAAAAAATTAAGATATCCTTTTCAAGTTTGGCAAAGGACTTGAAAGTTTCAGCTGCAGATAGGCTTTTATTGAAAACGTCCCAATTTGGCCGAGAGGCACGCCTACAGTATAATATAAACTTAATGCAGATCTGTTTTCAAAAGAAACAAAAAACATTGGTTTCTTTGCTCACGACCTAGAAATTGTAACGAAACTATAAATAATACTACAGTGCTTGAATGCAAATAAAAAAAAAATCGACTACGTCCCTCTATCCAATATTATAGAGTATTGAAGCTCCCTGTTTTCATTTTCCTAACTTGCTTCCTTTTTTTTTTTTTTTTGGTTTTTTTATTTTTTTATATAAGATAAAAGTGTTCGAATAGTTCGATATCACCGAAAATAATTTTCTTACTTGTTTTATATTGCATTGCATTGCAGAAAACTTCATAGAAGGCTATTAGACATACACATATACGTTTGGCTATATTTAATATGTAAATATGACAGCTAGTTTTTTAACAGTTTTTATAGAAATTTATTTTCCCATAAACGAAATCAATCACTTTTATTGAAATATTAAAATAATTTATAACAATTTTTTTTTTTTTCGTATAAATGATTTTATTAAAATTTTTATATATATGTAGAAATAGATCAAAGCATTTTTTTTTAAAGTCAATGTGTTTTTTTGTTGTTGTTACGTTCCTTGCGAAGGGCGGAGTGGATCAATGAGATTGAGAAGTTAAAGGGTTTTTTCTCTGCCTTGCGGAAATGGTATTTCTAATCAAATTTATATTAAGGGAATTTACAGTTTTTCAAGACTCATAAGACTTTTTTATCTTTACGTTTACTTTCAGAATCACCCAATGCCTGTCCCCATGTGTTCCATATAATTAAAGTCGCTTACGCTTTTTAAAATAAAGTTTTACGTGCAAAGTGGTTGAAAAAGTGGTCCAATCCGAACCATTTTGGGGCCAAAACAAGACTTGTAGATTGAACATAAGAAAAGAAGACGGACAAACAGATAGGCGGATAGATAAGACAGAAAGTGATGCCAAATTCTTGGTATAACAAAAAGTGAGTGTATGTCAAGTCCTTCCGGGTGTGTTATACCGTGTGTGCCCAAATTCAATACACCCTTGTATTACAAGCGGTGTAGGTTATAACAGAGTACATTAGTACTTGTAATAGTAGTAGTAAAAGAATAGTAAAACGGACGAAGCTAAAATATCTAAACATCTTCAGTCTGAAAAATGAATTAATTACGAACAGTATATAGGCTATGTATATAAAAAAAAGAAGAAGCATTTTTGGTTAATTGCAAGTGAATTGGACTCTCATTTCCTACGCATTACTCTCGAGTAGGCAAAAGATCGCGACTAATAATTCAATCCAATATAGGTGAGCACAGGCGATTTAAACTGTCCGACAGTCTTTAAATCCATACCTCGTAAATTTATTTACAAAATATATAGACAATAATTAAATAAAAATAATAACTAAGAGCCTTATACATGTTTTAAGGTGATAGTTATATTGTCGGTAAACCGTGCAATTTTTATTCGGTAGGAAAACGTTGTTTTTTTTTTTAATCTTAGCCAGGCCTTGACATAGCTCTGCGTTTAGTTTCAAATCAATCTGTCTCAGATATAGTAAACTAACGATGAAAAAATGCAAAATTGCAAGCCTTTAACGGGCCTTGCTTACCAAGAAAAGTCATGGACCAAGACCTTTGGAACTAAGCCGTAAATTTTGATAGAAGGCTTATATGGAAACAATCAGGCCGACCTATATACAGGCTTGTCTTGAAATAATAGGCTTTGCAGCCTTCAAGCATTGCCCCATGAAAGTGGAGCGACAAGGCAATAGACGCAATTAAACAGAAGGCAACTATATCAATCTAGAATGGACCATTTATTTTTTTTTTACTGATATTCTAGTAGATTTAATGCATCTATAAAGTCTGGAGAACGCAATTGATGCCTTGAAAAAAACGCCAGCGGATTTTTTCCTTAAAGGAGTTAACAGGTATATTTTGGGCGTTATTGAAACTTTCTTCCCTTGCCCTGTATGTCTTCTTTCAGTCTTTCATTTTTATATATAACATGCAAATGTACACGTCTACTGTTGGTTCGCCTTTATAGCACAACACAATAATATTTATTCGAGACTCCATCAAATATTAGGATTGTCTCGAAAAATTTGAAGTAGATACACTAATGCCTGAGTGCTTGTGCGGGTGTCTTTCTATATGTTGTTCTGTTGGTCTTTCTATCCATTTATCTACCCGTGTATTCGCTCAACTATATTTCTCTTGATTATTCGTCTAATCTTTTTTTCTCCCCCTCTTTCTATTCTATTCTTTTATTTGCCCTTCCATTGAGTCTTCCATCTGTTTGCCTTTATGCACGTTCAAACTTTTTTCGAGTAAATAACCTTCGGTTAAATTAACTAAGTCTGTCTGTCTGTTTTTCTGTACGTTTGTCCAAGGGCTTTTTCCCGCAAATAAGCATATGGGCCATTTTTTTTAAGTAAACGCATTCCCGTTACACAGAACCAAAAAAAAAAGGAAAAATTTGTGGCACTTGAACTTGGAATGACGTTACCAATAGCCATGGCTGTCCCAATTAATACGATCGAAATGAACTCCAAATATTTCGCAATTTTTATGTAGTTGCTTAAGGTTAACCTTCGTATCAGCTCTATGGGTGATTCGTCTCGAAACAAGTGTAATTTTCTAGCTTGCTTCCTAATTGTATCGCTGAAGAAAAGATAAAAAAATCTTCTTGAAAACAAAAAAGAAAAAAGCACGTATTGCCTCTATGTCCTAACATTAGGTATTTCAATAAATATTGAGAATTTAGGGGCTTATGGCTTGGCCATAGTTTAAAAAATAAAAAAAAGGAAGCCCGTACAAAAAAGGCTTTGTAAGAGAAATTATTTGGTATATATTAAAAGAGTTGTATTCCCTTAAGTGTGTTCTTTAAGGCACAAAACGAGAACATTGAACAAAAAGAAAAAAAAAAAGATTAAGGCTAATGAAGACAAATAACAAGTAACTTTAAGAAGGACGTTTCAATTTTTTTAAAGTAGCCCGAATTATAACAAATTAAAACCGTGTTAAAGGAGAATTATTGCGGAATTGAATTAAAGTGTAAAGCGAAGAAATTTATTGTTTTTTTTTTGTGTCGTTTTAAGGCGAATCATAATCGGAACCCTCTAAAAGTAAAATTAAAGAAAAACAAGAAATGAAACCGTGTAAAAAAAGATTTATAGATAGATGTGTTTTCCATGTAATAATTTTACATTTGCACCCATCGGGAAAATTTTGAAATGAGGTATCTGTAAAAAGCTCAATACTTTGCAAAACGAAACAAAAAATATAGGAGAAATGTTAAAGAGCAGCAGAGAACATTTTATAAATTATTTATTTAGTCCTTTCGCTTAGACATTAGCACCTTTGTTATCGTTTTGTTGTGAACAGCTGATATAAAAACATACACAAAAATTTTTAAAAAAGGTACGTTCATCATCACTAACGGTAAATCGTGTATAAAAATGTGCAAAGTTTTCATGACATTACACGACTGCATGAAAACTGCATTGTATTGTTTTCTTCTACGCTTTTCACAAATCTTAGAAAACAATACTTTTTTTTTTTTTCTCGTTTGTAGAAGAAGTAAAGAAAAGTCTTAGGAAAGGAGCAAAGGTTTATTTTGATCGCAAAATGACGACAGTAATTCTGAGAGAGAGAGAGATAGATAGAGATAGAGAGAGAGAGAGATAGAGAGAGAGAGAAAGAGTAATGAAATTTGAAAACTAATTTACGATAAGTGATTTTTGCAAAAAAAATATTACTGAACTTACCATCGCTTTCCTTTTCGTCCTTTGGCGGCATCTCATCCCGTTTATCATAAACATATTGTTGTGATTGTTGTTGCTGTTGTTGCTGTTGTTGCTGTTGTTGATTATGAAAATTTCGTTGAAAACGTTTACGCCCCAAATATGATAATGATGATGATGAGAACGATGACGGTGACGATGAGAATTGATTTGTAACTAAACTTAAGGGTTCATCTTGATGTATTAGCGGATTTAGAATTCTAACCGGCGATTGCGAATTCGAACGAGCTATATGTAAAGCCTTTAAAGAAGCCGATGTGTTGGCAACATTTGCCGTTAAGTTACCATCAATGGGTAAATCTTGAGGTTCTGGTATATAAGGTTGATGTGGAGTAAGTGGCCGAGATGGATTAACGCAATTACCACCATTACTACTACCACCACCACCACCACCACCACCACCACCGCCGCCAACAATATCTCCACAACCATTATTGTCACTATTGTTATTATTATTACTATTATTATTATTATTAATATTATTATTATTGTTGTTATTATTATTATTATTATGAGCAGGTGGTGATGAGCTTAATGGTGGCACTAAACGATGATCGTCATCATTTTTGTGTTGTAATAAATTTTGTGATTCTAATAAGCGTTGTTGTTGCTGATGCAAACGATTTTTAATAAGAAATATTTTCGGCATTTTTGTTGTTGTTTTTGTTAATAATTTTGTTTTTAGTTTAGTTTAATTTAATAATAATATTGTTTTTTTTTTATGTTTTTTTTTTTTTTTTTTTTTTTTTTTTTTTTTTGGAACAGTTCTAGCAATTAACACTAATCCTTGGCGTGTGTTTGCTAAAAAACTGTTTTCTTGTTTTTATTTTTAATATTCACACTATTTCGAGAGGTTATTATGAAACGACATAAGAAAAACTAAATTTTGTTTTTCATTTTTGTGGCTTTCGATAGATTTCGATTTGTTCAAAAAAATTTTCTTTCTTTTTTATTTGCTTTTATTAATAAAAACTTTGTTCTAAATCGTTTATTTAAAATCATATCTCGATAATTCGTTTCATTTTATTTTGATTTAGAAAAATTCTTTTTTTTTTTTTTGTTCTGTTTCTCGCTCAAAGAATAAATGCGTGTATCCTCTATGAAGGTTCATCTCTTACTGTTTTCAAGCATTTTGTCTAGTCTTACACTCGTATCGAATACAAATAGCAGCAGTAACAGCATTTTTTGCTTTTTGTTGTTGTTGTTGTTGTTGTTTTTGTTACCAATGCTATCTTGGTTGTTAGTATTCTTAAGTAGTATGTGTGCGTGAAGACGATCTTAGAAAAATGAAAAGAAACAAAAAAACTAAAAAAAAAAAAAAAAAAACACTAAAATGAACGATTCCAAGCCACCGACAAACAACGACCGCATACAAACGATTGTTTTATTAAAAAGACCCGCTTAAAATAACCGTAAGCCGTTGTTTTCTACAGTAACGTACAAATACGAATGACTGCGGGAGAGTGTACTTGTACGAGCGTTGATGATCATTCGTTAAACACCATGTATACTAAAAATGCATGTGAGAGCTGTAGAATGTATTTATCCCCGTTGGGTTTCCTCTTGCCACCATTTCTGCCCGGGCGCGTACAATAAAACATGTGAATAAATGTGTGACGAGTTTGTAATTCGCTTTCGTCTTCGCATACTAGCTTAGTTTTTTTTTTTTTCGTATACCGTTGTTGTTGTTATTAATATTATTATTGGTACTTGATAGTAGTGTTCGTTTAGCACAAAAGCAACGGTTTACCTGTTATCATTGCCATTGTTTCAAGTATGTGTTTTGTGTTTACAGGTATCTCTTTAAATGCAAGCGGTATTACTGCATAAATCCACATGTTCTATAATCTCTTTCTCTCTCTCTCTCTCTCTCTCTCTCTCTCTCTCTCTATCTATCTCTCTCACTCTTTCTCTCTTTCTCGTTCTCTCTATCACTCTTTCTTTCTTTTCTATCCCTCTCTATCAAGTCACTCTGTTCGTTACAATTATATTCTCACTTAGAAAATACATAATATGCTCTAATGCTCCGGTTGGATATTTTTCGACTCTCTTCTAACTAAAAAAAATTGTGTTTGTTTGCCGTTTTCTTTTAGAGTTTTTCTTTTGGTTTTTACTTAACGCGTTATCTCTTCTCAACAATTTCAGAGTCAAGGTAGAGGTAACTTAAGTTATGCTTAAATCAACGAGCAAACAGACCTGTAACCGTACATACCTATATAATGCTTTAAGAAAAACCAAAGAAGAAGAAAAAGAATAGATAAAAATTGCCGGTTTTTTAACAGACTTGCATTTCTTGGTTTTTAATATTGTTCCTCAACTTCTTTTTGTTGACTTTGGTAAGGTCTTTTTTTGTTTTTTTTTTGTTTTTTTTTTTTTATTATTATTATTGCATGGGCTCGTAAAACTGCAATCAATGGTTCATTTGTGTATGCGTACATGTCTGTGTTTGTTTTTTGGTCTTGACTCTGAAAATGTTATTTATTTATTTAATTATTATTATTGTTATTGTTGGTTTAACGTGTTCTGTTTTTGCTTTATAGAATGAAAACAAATAAAAATAAACCAAGTTTGTTTCTTAAGTCTTTCCTTTTTATTGTAAAATTTTAATTATCGGTTTATTTGCCTGTTGCTATTTTATAATTATTGACCGTTTTATAGTTTTAAATTTATTATTATTTTTTTTTTT